AACCCACAAACCCCTCAGAGTTTACAGTATTCTTCATATGATAACAAATAATAACCCTCACAAAACAAAAAGGCATAACAAAAAAATATAATAATATAACAAAATATAGTAATAATAATAATAACAAAAAAAAGACATTTCTCACTGTGACAATACACAAGGGCAGAACAGACCCAGGATTTTGCACGTTGCCTGAACCTGGCCCCGTTATACACCACCCACACAGAGGCAATGCAGGTTGTTTTAACCAAGTAAAGGATGGCTGAGTGTTCAGAGTCTGTTTTACTCTGCCTTTGGGAGCACTGTTACTGTAGTGCTGCTTGGCTAAATGCCCCCAGCCCAACATTGCTGTGCTGGAGTAGGGAAGGAACAGCTTTGGCTCCACTCTTAGGTATTGCTGGTGTAGAATTATCTGTAGAATACTGCTGTTTTGTGATGGCTAACAGCTACCAGGAGCAACACAAAGCCCGTGCTGAGTTAGACATTAACACAGCTCCCCTACTGATTTTGGATATACACAAGGCTGTTTTCCTCCTGTGTGCTGTACTCAGCTCTGCATGCAGACTTGGCTCGCCTTGGACAAGTGCTGGTTTGCTTTTGCAATTCTTGGACCAGCTGCCTTTAGGGGGCCCTTGTTCATACTGATACCTGCCCCTCCAAAATGCTGGGCAGTGAAGGAAGCTCTTGCATTTACACCTGATCACTCATACAACTTCTGCAGTGATAATATTGGTAAACTTATCTTGCAGTGGCTTAGCTGGGAACGTGCCCTATAGCAGTGAATTTGTAAATCTTCACACTGTACTAAAAAAAATATTGACTGAATAATTGAAAAAGAATGGGTTAGGAAAGGGAAAAAAAGGGGAAAGGAAGGCAAAGGAGAAACCTGTGTTACCAGTAGCTCCTGTAAAGCAGTCAGAGGAAAATGATATACTCAGTTTAAAATAATTGCAGAAAAGAGGGGCAGAAATCTTGAAAGCTTCAGATGAGGGTGCTGCTTGACAATGGGAACAAGTTCCCTGTGCAGGACATGCAATTCAGGGAAGTGCTGAATAAAATGGTATACAAGCTGGGTGAGTGGTAACAGAGTAGGGCCCAGTCCTTGGGCAAGAGAAATCTGTGGGTTATTAAAGCAGAAATGAAGCTCTGTATGTTAGTAAAAAAAGCTAACTAGAAAGAGAGGAAGTGTTACAGCTCTTGTGCATTGTGGCACATGGAATGAAATGCAGAGGTAATGACTGAGAAGTTAAGGACGTGTTCAGGATTTTTAGCTGAAGTGCAAGACTGGAAGGAAAAATAAAGACATCAAGGGAAAGAGATGTTAGGTTGAGCAGCTCACTGAAGGCAGCAGTGACTTGGTTAAAGGAAGAAAAATATTTTAGAACAAATATTTTAGTAATAATGATATTATTTTATGAGTTAAACAAGACTAGTCTTAATTTTGAAGCCTTAAAGTTTTGAATGCCATAGTAATATTAACTTGGAATGAGCAAAGAAAACTATTTTTTAAAAAAAACTTCAATAATTGGTAACGCACTCATAGATGAAGCTGTAATACTGCCTCAATGGTGCACCTGTGTTAGGATAGATTGAAGGAGCTTCCTGGCTCTTTTATCAGCCTTCAGATAAAATGGACCAGTAACTTGCATGTGTCTAGGTTTACTAAGAGCCAGCCAGTCAGCTGGAACTGATAAGTACAGCTAAAAATCTGGACCCATATTAATTGCAAGAAACCTCCTGAAACTCATTCATGAGTCTGGGCAACTCATTCCAGTGCCTCTCTATCTCATTTGTAAAAAATGTCTTCCTTTTATCCAATCTAAATCTCTCCTCTTATAGTTTGAATCAATGTCCCTTTATCCTATCAACAGATCATGCTAAAGAGTCTGTCCTTTCTTAGAATCCCCCTTTTGATACTGAAAGGCTTCTACCATGTCTCCCCAGAGCCTTCTCTTTTCCAGGCTGAACATCCCCACATCTCTGTGTGTTCTTGTAGGGAAAGTGTTCCATTCCATGGACCAATTCTGTGGCCATCAGCTCTAACAGGTCCATGTTTCTCCTGTACTGAGGACTCCACATTTGGATGCAGTACTCCAGGTGAGGTCTCACCAGCTCAGGGCAGAGGGGCAGGATCACCTCCCTCACCCTGCTGACCCACAGTTCTTTTGATGCAGCCCAGGATACAGTTGGCTTTCTGGGCTGCGAGTGCACATTGCTGCTTATGTCAAGCTTCCTATCCAGTACCCCAGGTCATTTTCGGCAGGGCTCTGCTCCGTCCTTACATCCCCCAGCTCATACAGACAGTAAGGATTGCTGTGATTCAGGTGCAAGACATTGGACTTGGATTTGTTGAACCTTATGAGGTTCACCTGGTCCCACCTCTCAAGACTGTCTAGGTCTCTCTGAGTGCTATCCCACTGCTCAGGCATGTCATTCACAAACTTGCTGAGAGTGCCCTTGATCCCACTGTTGATGTCACTGATGAAGACACTGAACAGCATCGGTTCCAGTACTGATCCCTAAGGGACACCACTCTTACTGATGAGGCATCTCGAGGTGAGATGTAAGGCCAATTACTGGTGGCATGAGAGGTGATTGTAGTCTCTACTCAGCGCTGGTGAAGGCGCACCTCGGTACTGTGCTCAATTTTAGGTGCCTCACCATGTGAAAGACACTGGGGCACTGGAGCGTGTCCAGAGAAGGGCAATGAAGCTGTGAGGGGTCTGGAGCCCAAATCCTCAGGGGCGTGACAGAGGAAACAGGGATTGTTCAGTGTGGAGAAGAGGAGGCTCAGAAGAGGTCTTATTGCTCTCTACAACTGCCTGAAAGGAGGTCGTGGTGAGGGGGGGCCGGCCTTTGCTCCTAGGTATCAGTAGTAGGATGAGAGGCTATAGCTTCAAGTTGTGCCAGGGGAGATTCAGGTTGGATACTGGAACAATTTCTTCCCGGGATGAGTGGTGAGGCATTGGACAGGCTGCCCAGGGACGTGGTGGAGTCACTGCTCCTGAAGATGCTCAAGAAAAGGATGGATGTGGCAATGAGGGATGTAAGGTAGGGGGGACATTGGTGGTAGTGGACGGTTGGACTCAGCGTTCTTGGAGCTTTCTTCCAGCCTTTCTGATTCTAGGATTCTATGACTCTGTGATTCACAGGCACGGCGGGGGTGGGTTGGGGTTGGACTGGATGATCTTGGAGTTCTTTCAAACTGTTCATGCTGCTGTCATTTATCAGAAAACTCAGGAAACCACAGGTGAGCCTAACTGCCACAGGGTAACTCGGGACCGCTTGTGAAATTCCGACTATACAAACTGGATAAAAAAAAAAGCCTTGTTTAAGCGATTTCAGCTGAGGGAAGCTATTGAATAAAACCGTTCAGAGCGATTGTGGCAACGCATCCGCGAAACGGAATTCTCGCGGACTTCCACCCAGCCCAGGGAGCGGCGGCAAGACACCAGGCAGCGAGCAGAGGCGGCCGCAGCGACGCCTGCGCGGGCTTCTGCGCGCCGCGTCACGTGACGGCGGCGGAGGGAACGCGGTGGGGGAGGGGAGCGGCGCTGACAGCGGTGAGGCAGCGGCCGGCCCCGCCGCCATGGGCAGTGAGTACGGCAGCGCGGGCGGCCGCAGCGATGGGAGGACGCGGCCCGGAGGGGGGCGGTGGGGGAGCGAAGGGCGGCGAGGCGGCCACCTCACGGCTCGGCGGCGGGTCGCGTCCAGCTTCTCGGGTCGGACGTGGCGCCTTGGCCGGCTCCTGCGGGACACGGGGAGCCGTGTGAGGGGCGGTCGGTGCGGGAGGAGCCGGGCGCGGCGGTGTGCGCGGGGATCGGCGCGGCGTTTCCACACGCGGCGCGGTGCGGGGCGCGGATCTGTGAGGGGAACCGCGGCTGGCGGCTGTGGAGAGCCGCGCGTAGCGGGCTGGGAGCGCTGCGGGAGGTTTGGCAGGGAAACCGCCCGCCCCGAGCTTTGGGTTGTTGGGGTTTTCGTAGCAAAGAGCCGAGGCTGCTGAGCCGTGCCGCGGTTTTAACGGAGAAACTGCGGAGGGAGTTGTAGAAGTTAAATCCCGAAAACTTCGGTCGAAATACGTGTTGCAGCGATTTGAAGGTATCTGAAGATATGTCAGTGATTTTTTTTTTCCCGTCATCGAAATAGATGCGTAATGCCTATTATTTCCTAGGTAGGTGCATCCATTGCTTCTGTGCTTGACAGAAGCGCTGGGTCGGGTATTTTTAGGTGGGATGTGATTCAGTTCACTGCTGCATCGCAGGTGATTCTGGCCGTGGAACAAAGGATGGGCCAATCTCTTGAAAATTCTTTTCCACGTTTCCAAGGCTTGAAAAGTGAGATGCTAATGAGTTGTAACAAGGCTACGTGCAAGGCGTTGCATTTGGGTCGGGCAGTTCCAGTCAGGGGTGCAGAGCGGGAGAAGAGAGCATTGAGAGCAGCTCTGTGGAGTTGGGTTTGGGGTTCAGGTGGATGAGAAGGTGGATGTGAGCCAGCAGACTGCTCTTGCAGCCCAGAAGGCCAACTGTATTCTGGGCTGCAGCAGAAGAGAGGTGATAGCAGGGAGAGGGAGGGGATTGCCCCCCTCTGCTCTGCCCTTCTGAGGCCCCACCTGCAGTGCTGCACCCAGGTCTGGACCTCAGGAAAGGTGTGGAGCTTTTGGAATAGGTCCATAGGAGGGCAGACAAAGATGTTCAGAGGGCTGAACATCTTCTGTCAAGAATGGCTGAGGAAGCTTGGGTTGTTCTACTTGGAGAAGGCTTGGGGGAGACCTGGTAGCCTTCTGGTACATAAAGGGAGCTTATAAGCAGAAGGGAGATAAAATTTCTATACAGTCTGGTAGTGATAGGACCGAGGATTTCAATTAAAAGAGGAGAGATTTAGTTTAGATGTTGGGGGAAATTTTTCACTCAGAGGTGAGGCACTGGCACAGGCTGTCCAAAGAGGCTGTGGATGCCCCATCCCTGGAGGTGTGCAGGGCCAGGCTGGATGGGGCCGTGGGCAGCCAGTGGGTGACAACCCTGCCTGTGGCAGAGGCCTGGAACTGGATGATCTTTGAAGTCCCTTCTAAGCTAAATCATTTGTGCTTCATGTTCATTTTTCACTTCCTTCAAGAAATGCATTACTTCTCTGCATCAACACTCTGCTTCTCAGAGTGTTGATGAAGTAATTCACCTGTAGTGTTCTTACGCTTTATTTTTTTCCTTAGAAGATATATGAAGTATGAAGCTTTATAAATCATACAAGTGCAGTAGAATATTTTCTTCTTACTCCTTTTTTGTTCATTTTTTCTACAACAGTTAAATTTTTAGAAGTTATTAAGCCATTCTGTGCAGTTTTACCTGAAATCCAGAAGCCAGAAAGAAAGGTGAGTGCTACATTGTGTTTTTACCTTAATGTGTTCTCAGATAAGAGAATAATGCGTTCAACTCCACACCACAATACAGATGCAGATAGTGGGCCCTAAGGTAGGGCATATCCTTTGGGAGAAAGGAAATCCACATTAAGGTAAAAGGTTATCATCATAATGAATTCCTGACAGCCTTCTGGCAAATCAAGTTCTTCCATATGCTAATGGTACTAACTCAGTTTGGTTTTTAAATGTCTTATCTCTGGACTGAATTTATTGTATTCAGTTCCTTATAACTACATCAATGTTAACATACCACAACGGAATTTTCAGGCTTTTTTTCCTGTGGATTTTTTCCCTCAAAATAGTTTTTCCTCCAAAGCCGTTTTTCCACTTGATGAGGTGGTTTGTGACGAGGTTCACATAACCTACTAGCTGTGATGCTTCTCTCTGTTCTGAGACCAATGAAATGAGTTCATTTACACCTGACCTATCCCTGTAGCCCTAGAACCCATTTCTTTGCCTGTTTTCTAGATTAAAAATATTTAATTTCTGTAGATAGGAAGAGACTGTCCCTGTCAAAAATAATAATAATAGTGAAAATAAGCTTTTTTACTAATACTCAAACAGTCATGTATCACCTAGCTGATAAAGATTCGAATTAGAGTAGCAAATTTATGGAATTTTCATGCCAGCCACACTAGAAAATAAGAGGTAAATACTGATTTTTTTATTGTTAGAAAGAAATCCATACCTGTGAGCATGGTACCATCCTGGAGAATATTCTCACACTGTTGAGAGATTCCTGAGGGTTAGGTCTGGATGCAGAGATGATTTTTCTGGTAGCCACGTGCTGGCTTGAATGGAAAAGATACGGTAAAAACTGCAGATTGTCCCCTTCTGGGACTTATTTCTAAGAAGGTTGATCCCTTGGCTCTTTGCCTTATCTGCCATTCCAAGTTGTCTTTCCCTCTCGGGACAGATCTTCAGGCAAGTGATACCACTCAGACAAAGGCTTCTTGAGTCTCCAGAGCCAGACCTTGTGCAAAGATTGAGATGCACCTGATCGAGTGGAAGATAACCCACTGTGTTTCTGCAGCTTTCAACTTCAGTACAATCTTCTTGTGTTTGTTTATGGCATATTTTTGAATGAGTTTGTTACATCCATCTGTCCCATTTCTTGTATTGAAGTGGGGTTGATGAGACAGCTGAGACAAATCTACAGATACTGAAGTTTCCGTAAAGCTCTGCAGCAGTTGTGATTTTCTCTTGGTTTCTTCCTTTCTCTGAGGAAGGAAAGAGTAGGAGGAGAGACATGGTTTGTCAGCGTCCTCCATCAGCTGGTGAAGGATGCCCAGAGCAGTTGTTGTCCTTGCTACTTGGGTCATTTTGTCTCTTTTGCTATCTAGGTCACTGGCTAAGCAGTGATTGTCTGTTGCCAGCTTTGTACAAATTTGAAGTGAAGGATATACTTGGGAACGTCCTTCCCAAGACTGAAGAGTATTTTGACCATTTTACTTAATGTTCCTTGCTTATGTATAGTCTATCAAGCGACTTAGGCTGTTCTGTTTAACAAGTCTTTTGTATTTATTGTTTTCTTGCAAGCTGTCACTGGCAGGCATCATTAGTAATTATTTTAGTGGGCTGGTTAAGGCTGGGACAAGAAACAAAGATAACGAACTAGAAAAAAAAATCTCTAAGCTTAAGTTCAGTGATTGTTGATTGTGCAGAGAGCATGAAGTTTTCATTCAGGTGGGCTCTCATTGGACCTTTTCCCATTATTTTTGATGAAGGAAGTGGGCTTTTTCTGTCACTAGGGAGTGTTGCTTTTGTCATTTAGAGATGTTGGCTGACAGAAGCAAGTGTTGCTTTTTTGCAGTTGTTATGTTTGTTCATGCTGCACGCACAGATCTCTCAGCTACTTCACAGACATGAAGTAGAACACAGTGTTCAGAACACCAGGATGATGGGGCTCACGTCCATTTATCTTTATGAGCTGTAAGTGAGAAAAATACCAAAAGAAGAAAATGTCCAGTAGGATCTGATCAGACGGTGAAATGCACACTTTCTGTGCTCGTTGTTGTTTGTGGCTGGAATATTTTGGTACCAGTTGGTATTTTGCTGCTTTTTGCATATGGATTCGAGTGCCTCCTTTTTCTTTTCTCTTTTTTGTTTCTTTGAATCACAGAGACCATTCCCTGTGAACCAAGTGTGATTTGGGTGTTGCAGGATTTCTCTAATGCTCACTTTAATTGACTTGAGGGCCAGGGTAGTTGAGGAGACTGATACCCCAGAAGCTAATGTTAAGCTTTGGGCTGCAGAAACTGTTCTGCTCAACATTTTTCTTTTTTAAAGCCTGTACTTTAAATCTGAACAATGAAATTGAAACAGCGCTTGGCAAAGTGGGTCAGCACTTCATAAAATCTAAGACAAGACGCTGGATTTATTTGCTGCTGTCACTTTTTCTTTTTTTAACTTTGTACTGTATGTATTTTTAGCATCTGTCCTCTTTTAGAAGTGAGTCTGTATCAGTAAATACATTAAATTACTGGAACTACTTTGCCTCAAATTAAGTGTATGCTTTCACTTACAAAGTTGCAGACTAATTCTGAATTCCTTTTGTCTGGGGAGTTGTCCTGCTGCCTCAGTTTACAGATTCTTGTTTGGGGGTGTTCAGGGCCTATAAAACTAGCCACTAACCTTTTCTCTTGTTACTTCTCTACAGGCAGCATCAGTGGTTGGAAGCAGAAATGTGTTACTTACACTGTATCTGTTTTGTGTGTCAGTTCATGTCTCATTTTAGTAGCTGCTGTGCTCTTGTCTGCAGTGAACACACATCCCAGTGTTTACAGTCCGTGGAGGAGAGGTGGGAACTTGGACGTAGCACTGCAACAGGGCTCTCTCTTGGTCTCTTCCAGTGCTTTTCTTTCTGTCTCAGGCTTTCAGTACTTTTCTCTTTTCTCTCTTTCAAATTTAAACCTCATGGTTCTTCTTTTGTGGAACTAGTTGCAGCATTCTGCCTCAAATCATGGACTCGTATCATAGAATCATAGAGTGGTTTGTGTGTTGTGACCACGGGGATCTCTTAATGTACTACTGACTGATGATCATTGATCTGTCAATCTTTTAAAAGTAATACCTAATGTACATCCATAGAAATACTTCGGAGGGGGAAAAAGCCCTCTAAAATTTGTAGTCTGTTTCCATTAACATAATGGTGAATCTAAGCTTCCTGCAACAACTTTTGAAGAACTTCTTTCACTGCTCTGATTTCTAATCCAAAACTCATGGTTCTTCTGTTTTTTAATCACTTGCCTTTAGCAGTTAAGTCTCTAAAAACTTTACAGCACTTGAGCAACTCGAGCCTTAAAAAACAGTGCTGTCAATCTGTTGAAGCCCAGAGATAAAATCACAGCAGATGAGGATTTTTGCATTAGTATTTCATGTTTGTTCTGATATGTCCACATTTAGCCATGCTGTTGTTTTTTGGTAAATATTCACTGTGTTAGGATGCTATATATAAAACGTGTTCTACTGTCTGAGTGCCAGGCACACTGCCAGATCCCATGCAAGCTGTCTTTGAATACATAGAAGCCCATGGCTGTCACTCTAAAAAATCTGAAATCATATTAAAAATAATTCCTGATGAGAAATGTTGCCGTCTGGCTCAGTATCTTTCACATTTAGTTCCAAACAATACAGCATCTAGCTCTAGTGTGAAGTAGAGTGAAAATACCGAATGCAATTAACTCAGTAATATCTATAATTGGTTCTGTAGATCCAGTTCAGAGAGAAGGTGCTATGGACAGCCATCACTCTCTTCATTTTCTTAGTATGCTGTCAGGTATGTATGGATGTATTCTGTGTTTCAGAAAGGGTGTGTTCTGTATGTAAAATGCTGAACGTGTGAGAATTTCTCATTTTGTGTTTTAATTGCTAATGAATGAAGACTGTGTATGCAAAATAATCTTTATTATTCATGTATATGTTTTCAGAAATTAATACGTTGCTGTTATGATGTGAGCTGTCCTATGAAACAGTGATACTGACTGCAGGATAAACAGCAAAGCAAATATTCATTGAGTAGCCCAAGCAAGCCGAGCAGTTTTATGCATTCTTTAGCCTCTGTTCATAGCTAAATTTGAAGTTCAGCTTTGAAGTTCACTGCTTTGAACAATCAGTAATGAGATTGAACAGAAATGACTTTTTTTACCTGATCCTTCTTGGGCGAACTAAAAGATTGCAGAGATTGTGGGCAGATGTTTGTCCTGAGGTGTTTAAGTTCACATTTAGAATGTGGCTTTTTGAATATATTGATGAGGATACTACCTGCCCCCAAGGTCTTTGTAAAAGTTTATGGTTGCATTCATTCATAGTTGCAGGAGTTCCTGGAAACCCTAGAAACTAGGGTTATAAACACATAGTATTGTTAGTTGAATATTCAGATACTGCAGAAACTGAAAGTCCATGCATTACTTTATTTATTTTAGCACTTTTGGACCCTCCAGATTCTTTAAAATGAAGCAGGCATCTTCAACCTTAGGCATTTTATGTTCTGTTTTATTTATTTATTGACTTGAACTAAGCCATTGCAGTCAGATTCTGTAGCAGCAGTTTAATAATTTGTATGTTTACAACTGAAGGGCTGTTGAAAGGCCCAAACCTGTCTGTTTTTCAGAGGATGTGGGAATGATACCAGAGATAGAAGAGTGTGGATTTTATTTGTGTTTCTTAGCTGCTATATATATGCATAATTAAGGATTTGAATCTGTACAGAAGATGATGGTAGCTAATTGAAAATAGTTAGCATAATAGCAGAGTTTTCAGGAAATAATCTAAAGGATTGCCTGGGCCTTATTTTGTGATTGAGTTTTAAAGAACTCAAAGTCCTTCAGTGCTGACATATGGAAAATTGATGTCTTTTTTCAGTATAAACAGTGTAAAGCTCCATATAGGATGCTTTAAAACATTCCCAACTGTAGAGTTGGTATTCAGAGTTGATGGAGGAAAATATTTATGTTGGAATTTATGCTTCATCTTTAATTTGTTCTACAAAGGAATTTTGTATAGGGCTGTTTAAAATCAAAACAAAACAACCCTGCTTTCTTACGTCTTCTCAAAGATGTTTGGCTACAGTTTGTTCTACTGCAAAAATTGTGGTGAAATAAGTACTGGAGTATCAGTATTTCATAAGCAGTGGAATATCATGGTGGGGGGGGTAGAAAGCTCTGTTCTCTTAATCATTTTTGGTATCTGACCTATTTATTTTGTGTTTCTTTCCTTGGATATTTTTCCAGGGCTAAGGTACTCTATGGCTGCTTATGGCAACCACTCACATCTTCATCTGCAGTAATCTGGCCAGTGCTTGTCACTTAACACTGTTGTGTGGTCTGGTTCAATTTAAAAACCAGAAGATGGTTGGATTTCATTATACTGAACAGTGTAGCAGTTGAATCATTACGAGTTAAGGTTCTTAGATTAATGTAAGCTCTTTTCATGTATCTGTTTAATATTGCTCTGTGCTTTGGCAGATACCTTTATTTGGAATCATGTCATCAGATTCAGCAGATCCTTTCTACTGGATGCGAGTCATTCTTGCATCAAACAGAGGTTAGTAAATTCTTTCTTTTCTCTTCTTTTTATGGGTACAAACAGACTGTGAGGAAAAACGATTGGGTGTAAAATTTCACAAAGCCCAGCTGTCGTGTTGAAACACCGTGATGTGATGTGATGTGATGTGATGTGATGTGATGTGATGTGATGAATGATACCTGAGGTGGATTTTGTCTTAGGAATGGAAGTGCCTTTGATGCTCAAATGAGATGCATCTTGATTCTCAACTTCCAGGCTGGTTCTGTATCCTACTGTAAAGCAATCTTTTTCTGATTATATGTGAAACATTGGGTCTTTTCTCCTCTTAATTATGAAGGAAAATACTTTGTGTGTGCAAGTTGGTTATACCTCATAACACTTCTGCAGCATTACAGGTAGTAATTGTGGTAGTAATTATGTAGGTTGGAAAGCTAAGGGCAGAAATGATTAAGCTTACTTTGTAGCAAACCCGAAGTAGTTTACTGTAGAAAGGACAAATGGAGCCCAAAATAATGTGTAAAAGTATTAAACTAATGCTGGAACTCAGGATTTTAAGATTCCATGACTTGTCTTACATGACTCTAAGTAAGGTTACTGACCTCATCTGTACCTTGGCAAAGTGGCTGGAAGTGAGAGAAGCAATGGGACCTGTAATGTGAAGGAACTGTTTAGGAAAGGCAAACGTCACAGCAGTGAAGATAATTACATTACATTGCACCAAGCAGTGGCACAGGTTGCCAGCAGCAGTTTCTGAGCAAATTGCTCAGTGTGTGCAGGAAAAGGGAATTAAAGCATGATATTTCCTGCAGAGGAGTCCCTTTAAATTGAATGTGAGGGTAGATAAGCTTCTTGTGTGATTATCTGTTATATACCATTTCTGCTTCCTTTGACCTTTCACACAGCCATGTCGGCCATGCTTCCCCTTTCACTGGTTCTTCTTGACACTTTGCAAGTCTCTTGTGGCTAAATACTGTTTTCTTAATAATAATCATGGTCATTTTAGGATGGAACACTGCTGTGCTACAGGTGAGAGCAGAATTGCTCTTAAGTTCGCAGAGTTCTAAGGAATTTTGCACTGATTCTCATTTTTATCTCTCTGATGAGTATTGTGACAATGTCAGAATAAAATGCGTTTATGAGTGAATTTAATTGCTTTGGGTAAATTCAGTTCTGCTCTCATACCACTTTATAGTATAATTCAAGCAGATATCAGCAGTTCAACAACATCTTGCAGAGAATATATCTGCATAGAGCACGTGGTGGTGGTTCTGTTGTTGTACGCGGAGTGCTTGATGCCCAGCTGTTATTACATTGAATGAAAGGCTGGGGGAAAAAGAAGGCAGGTTTTCTGGAAAATGAACCTATGTGCTGCAGAAGTAGTGTTTTATGAAGTTGTGTCTTCCTGTTGTATGCATTTGAAAGTTGTTAGCTTGGTGAACATTGTGCCAGTAGGTGAGATGGCAGAGTAGAACATCTTAACGATGTGTTTGTTTCATTAAGTCCTAAACTTCAGTGCTCTCATCTATAGAGTTTGTGGTTTGGAGATTGGTGTTATCAAGCACTGTGGATCTACAGCATCTTGTGGTCTTCACAATTAAACTGAACAAAATATGGGAGTTGAAGCAGTAGAAGATGCTTCTGGTAGAGGTTTCTTGGTACGGTACGCCAAAAAGCTGACTGTGTAAAGCACTGAGGTTCTGTGTGTGCTTACCTGCAGTGCCCACATTGTACCACAAAGGTACATAAAGTGAAAAGCCACCTTGGTTTGCCTTAGATATCACAGATTTTTACACAGCCCCCTTCTGTGAGCTGATAATGGGCTTTGTTGAGAGTATGCCTGTACTGAAATATACATTTCAAAAGCTGTGGAAAAACGTTCTTTAGCTAAAATCTTTTAACAGGCCTAATATCCTCAGCATATAATCCTTTAGGAATCAGAGAATCAAAGAATGGCCCGGTTGAAAAGGAGCACAGTGATCATCTAGTTCAAATCTCCTGCTGCGTGCAGGGTTGCCAACCACCAGACCAGGCTGCCCAGAGCCACATCCAGCCTGGAAGATCTTTAATTGCATCTGTATTTTCTTCCTGGTAGGTACGTTGATGGAATTGGGTATCTCTCCCATTGTGACCTCTGGTTTGATCATGCAGCTGCTAGCTGGAGCAAAGATCATTGAAGTCGGTGATACACCGAAAGACAGAGCCTTGTTCAATGGAGCTCAGAAACGTAAGCACTGTTCTGATTCAAGTTATTGAACACAGTTTTATTCAGGGGAAACCAGTCCGCTTCAGAGACACGGAGCGTGAATTTCATTGATAGGTGAATTCAGGAAATTTGTCATTTAATAAAGATTTTCTTCTTGTCCTGTTGCAGTATTTGGGATGATTATTACCATTGGGCAAGCCATCGTCTATGTTATGACTGGAATGTATGGAGATCCTGCTGAAATGGGTGCTGGCATTTGCCTTCTCATTATAATTCAGGTTTGTAGTGAGCTATTCTTTGTGTAATTAAAACTGATTAGATGTAGTATGGTTGGAAGGAAAAAATCCTTCTGTGTTCTGGTTGCCTTTATTTTAATGCTGCGAAGCAACATCCTTCATATCTATCTGTCTACATATGAGAAATTCTAAATCTTCCTTAAAGGAAGAGAAAGTTGGGATAATTAGTATCATAAATATTTCAGATAGGGACTAGCTGCTTCATTTCAAATATGGGAATTTTGCAAGCAGTAGCTGCTGTTCGGTGCCACAGAGGACTTCTCACTAAAGACTCTAAATTCAACTTTGAGGCATTATCCTGTAGAGCAAATCAGTAAATGCACAAATGTAAACACTTCAAAAGAAATAAATACTTACTGTGTAATCTGTTTGCTTGCACCGGTGTTGAAAAGTCGCAGAGGTTTTTGGCAGGTGTGATGTGCATGTGAGGGGGCAGAAATCTGGATGAATGATACTTCAATTAAAAACTTAATGAGCTCTCTCCAACATGATGAAAATACTGAAACGAGATTAATATGCAATTCCTGACTTGATTTATTCTTGTTTCTGCTCAGTTCTTTTTCTTTTCCCGCAGCTATTTGTTGCTGGCTTGATTGTGCTGCTGTTAGATGAGTTGCTGCAGAAAGGTTATGGGTTGGGATCTGGTATTTCCCTCTTTATTGCTACCAATATCTGTGAAACCATTGTCTGGAAGGCGTTTAGTCCCACTACCATCAACACTGGCAGAGGTACCTGTGCTATTACAATTAGTTATGATGTGTTTCTGTGGATGTCTGCTGTATGTACACTTGATCAGGTGTGCATCAGATGGATTTTGAAAAGATGTTTTAGTGTGTGATGGTTAGCTTGTAAAATCCATTGTCTAACATTGAAGAGGGAAATGTTTAACTCGCACAAAGGTAAATTACCTGCATGTTTGCTTTTATTGATTTGAATTGCAGTAGCTGAAATGGGAGCTACAGCCCCTTGATGGAAAACTTCTGATTTCCAAACTGAAATAACCTTGTTTTAGCACACCTCAATCTGTAGAAATTGGGGTGTTTAAATTCTGCTTGTTTGGGGGAGTTCTTTATAACCCAGCTGTTTTTGTGGCTGTAGGTTACTGTTGCAGTTGGAGCTTCCCAGTAAATTTAAGGTTGATTGTTTCTTCAGGGACTGCCATTCCTCAGCCAATGTTTGGTTGTGCTGAGACTGTAAATACCAAGCTAAGATGCATCCTGTGTTTGCATCTTGAAGTTAACTCATTTAATGCATGTGTGCTAAGCCAGGATTTTAGTTTGCTCTCATCGTTACCAAACTTGGAGTTTTTCTGTCTGCTGTGGTTTTTTGCTACTTTTTTGAAGTTATTTTTTTCCCCTTTAGTTTTCTTTTTTTTTTTTTTTTTTCCTCCTTCTGATCTTCCTCTTACACCCAGAAAAGACTCCCAGCCTGTGAGTTAAGGCAGCATGCTGTGGTGATGCATCTGTAACAGGACGGACATCGTGTTGCATCTTATTTTGTACCTGTCACTTTGAAAAAATCCTGAAGAAAGATGTGATGGTCTTTTAAAAACTCTGTTATTAATTGACAGTTTCAAGTCTCTTCTGTTGTTCTGCTTTCTCCAGGAACAGAGTTTGAAGGTGCTGTGATTGCATTGTTTCATCTTCTGGCTACGCGAACCGACAAAGTCCGCGCCTTGCGGGAGGCTTTTTACCGACAGAATTTGCCCAACCTCATGAATTTGATTGCTACAGTGTTTGTATTTGCTGTAGTCATCTATTTTCAGGTAAAAAGAGAAATTTCTCGTGGTAGCTGTGAAACTGTATTGGTAGATGGGCATGGACTCCTGGTAATGTGGTCATTGCAAAAAGAAATCGCCAGAGTAGAAAAATGAAGTATCTGATCTTGAGATCTTGTTCTCAACTCTTTGAAAGGGTTGATAACTGCAGGACAAGGGGAAATGGCTTTAAGTTAAGGAGGAGGGAAGATTTAGGTTGGATGTCGGGGGAAGCTCTTTACTATGAGAGTGGTGAGGTGCTGGAACAGGCTGCCCAGAGAGGCTGTGGATGCCCCATCCCTGGAGGTGTTCAAGGCCAGGTTGGATGGGGCCCTGGGCAGCCTGGTCTGGTATTAAATGGGGAGGTTGGTGGCCCTGCCGGTGGGGGGGGGGGGTTGGAGATTCGTGATCCTTGAGGATCCTTGATCCCTTCCAACCCTTCTGTGATTCAGAGTAAGGAGCTCTTACTTATTCTTAGTTTGAATAGTGTTTCTTCAGTAACATAACCCTGTGGCATTGCAGCTGTTCAGTGTTATGGACACATATGCTTGTACTCAGGCAGTGATGTCATCTCACTTTCCACTAAACACCACACGCACTATTTGGGTATTTTTACTGAAAGTGGATTATGAAACTGCTCTGGTTCTATCATACAATTAATATACTTCATATTTGAAGTTGAGTTTAAAAAGAAAATACTACTTTTGAACAGAGCTGAAGAACCAAATACAGATTTGTTCTAGAAAACAAGTGTAATTAATGCATGGCTTTTTGTTCCCTTTTCCCCCTTGATTTTTCATTAGATCCTTAGCTGGGGTTTGTCTTTAAACTTGAGTATTTCCTAAAGTGGACATTAAAGGAGACCTGCATATTGGACTGTAGTGTTTTGTTTGTGTATCTAACCATGCATCTTTAAAGCAGTTCAGACTGAGTGGAAGCAAAAAAACTTGAATTCTCTGGTTTTCAAATTTCTTGAGCATACTGGGATAGGAGCCTGCCCCAAAAAGGACTTAGAGACATGGCAGGTCTGCTGATACTTATCAGTTAAGTTAAAAGCCATTACATAGTTTCATCAAACCAAATGTTATAAATTGTTATTTTAGAGAAATGTTACTTACAAACCTTCTCTCTTATTTGCTATAGAAAGAATGTAAAACATCCAAGCAGTAACACTTACAAATCCTTAAAGTCTGCCCTTCAGTCTGTAGCAAGAAGCCTTGGAGCTTTACTGTCCCAGACTTTGCACTCCTTGTTTATCTAACAAATATCCTCAGGAGTAACTTGTAGGCATACTAGGAAGCATTTCTTTCTCAGAAATGAATTTGGTGTGTTTGTGTTCTTTCTTGTAGGGCTTTCGTGTTGATTTGCCCATCAAGTCTGCCCGGTACCGAGGGCAGTACAGTAGCTACCCGATCAAGCTCTTCTACACCTCCAACATTCCCATCATTCTGCAGTCTGCCTTAGTTTCAAACCTCTATGTTATTTCCCAGATGTTGTCTGTTCGTTTTAGTGGCAACTTCTTGGTGAACTTATTAGGACAGTGGGCAGTAAGTACCTTAATCACCTTTTTAAAAAAGAATATATAAGTATATATATGTTACTTTATTGTGAAACTCAAGTATTTAACCAGCGGAAGACTGGAGTACTTAATTTCTGACAATTGTATGGCAAAGTGGCTTTTGGAATGTTGATGAGGAATTCCTCTATAAATGCAGGATTAGAATGTGAGAGGTCTGTGAGAAACACCTGCTTGTCTTCTTCCTCTTCTGTAGGATGTGAGTGGCGGTGGCCCTGCTCGTTCTTACCCTGTTGGTGGTCTGTGCTACTACTTGTCCCCTCCAGAATCCATGGGTGCAATATTTGAGGATCCTGTCCATGTAATCGTTTACATAATTTTTATGTTGGGCTCCTGCGCTTTTTTCTCGAAGACTTGGATTGAAGTGTCTGGTTCATCAGCAAAAGATGTAGGTGTTCTGATAAATCTGCCTAATGACTGTATTTTCAAACACTGCCTCTGATTTAGAACTGACTGATCCTTACTGATCAGTTATTACTGTGACTAAGTATCAGATGACTGTGGAAGAACTGCAGCAATTTCCTCAAATTATGTTTCTGCAGGTTGCCAAGCAACTCAAGGAACAGCAAATGGTGATGAGAGGCCACAGGGATACTTCAATGGTTCATGAGCTTAACAGGTAAGAAAATGCTGACTTTCAGTTGTGCTGCTCTACTGGGCAATGGAGAGTACTGGGAAGGTGTCAACGAGAACAAACGTTCTTGGAAAAATCTAGCTTGTTTCTGCTACAGATGTCAAGATATTGCTCTCGTTAAGCTGTCTTTCTCTGGAATGCAAAAGGTGCATATAGGATTAATGAAGAGATTAACGTAAGGTGTCTTTTGCGTAAGCAGAATAACAAAGGAATTTGGGTTCAGTCTCTTCTCTGTTTTTAAAAGGAAGACACCATCACTTTTACAGGTGTCTAATTTACCATTACTGAGCTAAAACAATGCTGCAAAAGTGGGCTTTTGTTCAGTGTGCAAAGCCTGAAGATCTGCATTGCTAGGCAGATTTATGCCTCTGTGTTTAAGCCAAATCTTAGTCTTGTGGAGGTTAAATAGCATGCATATATTTAAAAATAATAATAATAAATTGTTATCTCATGAATCAAAATCTTTACCAGTGATCAGTTGTTTATACAGCTTTCCTATCAGTGAATATTTGTTTTAATTTCTGTGTTGTTCAAATGTGGTTTAGAAACTTTTAAGAGTTAATGGTAGAGTTGCAGCTGCAGAGCTGAGCTTGTCTCTACATATTCTAGCTGGTTGTTTTAACAGTAGATATGCTTCTGAACTCTTGTATGAAAATGCATGATCATGAATGTATGTTTTGGTTCCAGGTATATCCCTACAGCAGCTGCGTTTGGTGGTTTGTGCATTGGTGCCCTTTCAGTTCTGGCTGACTTTCTAGGAGCCATTGGGTCGGGCACTGGCATTCTGCTTGCAGTCACCATTATTTATCAGTATTTTGAAATATTTGTAAAAGAACAGGCAGAAGTTGGAGGAGTAGGAGCGTTATTTTTCTAGATGTCCCAACATTTCATGTTTGTGGGAAAGGGAAAGTATTTTGACAACATGAGTCATTTAGTCCAACAATGCTATTTTCTTTTTACTTGTTTTCAAGTGCTACATGTCCCATTGCTGTAATGGGCCTTGAGCAATGCCTGCGTGCAGCATCAGTACCAGCTGCCTTAAGAATAAAGTTTACATTATCTTGTTTGAGTATATCTAATGTTGCCTGTAATGCTGGAAACCAATTCATCTACCTTGCTGTTCAGACACTACAGTGAGATGGTAAAATGTATCAGTTTGGCGCTGGTAAACATTTTTGCATACAGCATAAAAATGTTAAATTTATTTCCCCATCCTTAATAGGAAAAAAATTAATCTGAGTTCAGAATGCCACGTGCCAGTGTTCTCGAAAGAGTTGATTTGTAGCCTGTACCTTAATTTTTTTATACTTATTTAACTTGTATTTTGCCATCATTGAATTCAGCACTCCCTTCTCCTTGGTGGTGTCCCCACCCAGTCGCCTGCCCCTCAGCTCCAAGGCTGGACAAGCAAACATTTTACCAGAGACTGATACCCATCTCATCTGTGAACTGGTTTTGTGGTGGATTTGCTGCATTGCAAAGCCTGGGGCACGTCAATTCCTTGCCCTGGGCTTCCTATGAGACAGCATGGTACTGCTGTCATGCTGCCAAGCCAGCCCCGTAGTTTTGTTTTAAACATGTATTTGTGAAGACTGTGCCACTGAAACTTCATGTCCACTTTGCTTTTGTGAGTCTAAAGAACAAAGCCTGGTTCCTAAAGCGGTGTTCATAGAAGGGAAGGGGGGAACGTGAAGTTCCTACTGAAAACTTATTTATGTTGTTGCACTTTACAGTGGCAACGTAACAAGTGTAAACATTAGACAATAAACTTATTTAATTAAGCTCTCTCCTGTGTCTTACCTGTGCAAGATCCATAATTCACATGCAGTGATTTCACACTCACTGTGTTAGTGAGGCCGGTCTGGAAGGCTTCGCTCCTGTTTATCTTTTCTCTTGGAGTATATTTAAGGCTGCTGAAAGCTGATCTGAATTTTAAAAAGTGGTAATCTTAAGTCTTTGCCCCTTTAAAATCTTTTCTGTTAGTTGTAGTCAGTGGATTTTTCCCTTTTGGTTTCATATTTTGATTTTTTTTTTTTCAGCCTTAATTTGAAAGCACCTTTGTGGTGCTGTTTGTGAAAGTCAGAAAACCTTTCACAACATTTCTGCTTAATTTCTGAGTTAGGAAAAATCTTCCTAATTACGCATGTTCATCCAAGTATATTTCAGAGACAGTGTTTGATATTAGCACATGCTTATGGTGACTTTTAGTTTCTAACCTTTAAGCTGTGGTGGTTGTTTGGGTAATAAAAAGCAGGTGACTGCACTGAAGGTTTGCTGGGCAGGTAATTTACATAGAAGTGATTAGATTGAATTGAAGTGCAACCTAGCTGTGTGCATATATCCAAGGGAACTGGAGAACTGCAAGGCTCTTCTACTACTCTCTTACCTTAAACAGCATCACTTACCTGGCTCCATTCTAGTTCGCTCCGGTTTATGTTTTGTTACCATCACCAATGTTGTCAGTTTCTCTGTTTTCTTAGATTAAACAATGCTTGGATCCGGTGAATTCATTTTCTCTTACCACTTAACTTGGCACAAATGCATAATGTGGTCTTCCTGTTTTCTCTCTCATTTTGAGCAGGTGTTGCTACCACACCAAATACAGTTGCTTAAGCATCTTTCTTATACTGAAATATCAGCGGAGTGATCAATAATCAGAAATGAGGCATCTTGAAAATTAAGCAGCATTTTTATTTTGATTATTCTGTCAAAGCTAGATAGACTAAACAGTTAGAAGAAATGCTTTCCGTCAGTTCATTCCAGGTAGAAATATCAGAATCATTCCTAGAAGTATTTTTTTTACTCTACAAGTAAGGAACCTTTATTACAAGAAGAGTTACACTTCTAAGCCATCTGGACTGGAGGATTCTCAGCTATATTTATTACTGTGAAGTTTTAGAACTTCATGAAAGGAACTTGGAGCGGTTTCTCTGTTGCACGCTTCAGGGCCAGTGCATAAGTATAAACCCTGGCATCCACTGCAATATGCTCTTCTGCTACTAGTTCTGAGGGGCAAGGGAAGAGAAAAAGAAAGTATGAGATGCAGTTACAACTTTCCACAAACTCCTACGTCCATTACTAAAGTGGTGAATGGGATTATTCATGCGAACACCTCAGGCTCCCAGTAATTCTGTCGTAGGGTCAAGTCTCCTGCAGCTTTTTGTTTAAGATATAGACTTGTGAAGAGCTATGAGAAGAGATGCTAATGGTTACTTGAAGCTCAAATTAGTGCATTTAATGTCAGAAAGCTCTTACCATCGATTCTCTGCAGTAAGTCATTCTTTGGAAGTGAAATAACTTCCACAAATTCTAGGAGAGAAGAAAACGTTAAACACCTCTAAAGCAGTGAACAGTAGAGGATGTCTATCTTAGTGTCCTACTTCTTACAACCTACAGGAGGAAAAAAAACTAGCTTAATGCTCATCACTGTCTAAAAGCTGTGGACCTCTATGTATCATTAAAAAGCTCAGTGTCAGAGGGAAGGCAGTGACTGGGATCATTAACAGATTTGGCAGAAATAAACAGGGAAAAAAACTGGCAGCTGTGGAAGGTGAGAACCTTTCTAAAAGGAGACTTTCTCCTGAGAATGGGAAGTCTGTCAAACTGGAATCCTGTCTGGCTGAACTGGCACAGGAAGGGATTTTAGATGCATTTGAAGACCACAGCAGCAGAGTTTCTAAAGAAAAAGGGTTTGCTGCGGGTGAATATGTTTGCTTACACCTGCCTAGCCTGTATGAATTAGTTGCCTTTCAAGGCTTGAGTTACAGCTGTTGAGGATTCAGTTTGTATTTCTTGAGATAATGGTGCCTCTGTTGTAATATTTGAATACAACTGAAGTGATAATAGTCACAGGAATTTTCACATCTAGGCCATAGACAGTTTTGTGCATGCTTGATTTGGGTCAAGAGATTAACCAAGCCCAAAAAACCCACAGTTTTAACTGACATTTTCTAAGTAAAACATACAAACACACTTGACCTTCCTGTTACCAGGAGCACAGCTGTGTGACATACCTCCATCATCTGTAAAAAAAAAAACAAACAACACAAGGGTTTTGAAATACATTTACAGCTCAGAAGCATTCTGTTACCTGACTGAATGACACCATAGTTACTTCCAGGGTCAAGCCACAACTAAGGAAAATCTTTTGGCACTCGCTAAAGTTTAGCATCTAGATTTCTTGCTGTGGATAAGCTGATACTTTACATTTAACATCTAGGCATCCCCTGTGAATTTAGCAAATAAACATGGGTCTGCTTCTCTGTGCTGCAGGGTATGATTTGAAGACTTTACGGAGTCTAAATCATCAAGGATGGAAGAGAAGGATATGGTGGTAGGTAGTTCCATTAAACACCTTCTGTTCTGGTCTAAGAGTTTCCATCTAAATGTACAGAACTCACCAAGCTTTTGCTTAGGTCTTGTATTCAGGGCATCGTCTCCATTGATGGTAACGCTCACGATGTGCGTTGTGCTGTTTGACACACCTGGATCCAAGCAGAGTGCTGCAAACAAGCAGACATTTGTTTTCCAAAAGCAGAGGCCAGGCATCTCACCATTTTACAAAATAACTTCCATCCGAATCACAAGTGTTATGTAAAGGATCGTTGTTAACAGCAACAATTTTCCCTGTGAAGGTCAACCTTTAGTCCTGTACGTTTGCAGGAGCTCAGCAACTGATTCATCAAGTACCAAAGCCTCATTCGTACAGCCATGGGATACAACTCTCTGTTCATTTCTGTAGAATTTTCTGAGGAGTTTTTTTTTTTTTTTCCTTTGGTTGAGTGTTTTGTATCATCCATCAGAGAGCTTTGGGATGGAATGAAAAAAGAAAAGCACAGACCTGGAGTACATTCAATAACTTCCCCTTTGTAGCCCGTTTCTTCCTCCAGCTCTCGCAATGCAGCACTTTCTGCAGTCTCATTTTCCTCAATGAGGCCTGTGAGATAATAATAACACAAGAACAATTTAACAGTTAGCACTTACCCACAGTATCCACTATTCTGAGATCAAATCCAGCTTACAAATGAGGTGAAACGTCCCCATTACCCTACTTTTACATAGGAAGAAACTGAGGCTTTAGGAAGGATTCAAATTCCTGGACTCATCATTGCTGCTGCTCATGTCTTCATTGACTGTCTACAGTATTGTGCTATCTTCCCATAAGATGGCATTAGTATTCTCATGAGGGAAAGAAGTTGAGTGCTATGGCTCTTACAGATAAGAGGAGAGGAGGAAGATGCCATATTCTCTTACCAAACTTGTGCACAATGCCTCCAATCTCCTAAAATGAACTGCATTCCCTCTGTGTGCTTCGCTATTAAATAGTGCTGAAGAGCACACTGAGCTACAGATCACCATCCTGAATTCTGGCTAGACCACTTAATAAGGACTGAAACTCCCAGCACATCTAAACACAGTTAACTGTCAGTGTTGTGTGACTAAATGTTTCCATCACTTACCTGCAGGAAATTCCAAGCAGTAGCCATTAATTGGAGGCCTGAACTGTTTCACTAGGACGATGCAGTCATAGTGGAGAGTTCTCTGTAGCACAGCTATCACTGCCACACCTAGGAGCAGTGACAGATGTAAGCATGTACTATTTGAGTACAACAAAGCAAGCATTTAATGCTAGATCCAGGAGTGAACCTAAGGACACTAGCACTAGCATCAGGCTGGCAAACATTTAGATCACTGCTCTGTTATCCTGAATTATGAATTTAAGCTCTATACCATGCACAATGAAAGATAAAATGGGTTCCTCACAATATCTCAGCCAACTAGAGGGAAGTGTGCTAAGCAAGACTTATCCTTTGCCCCCCAATAGCTTGAGAGGCACTGTCTCACCTGCAGACACTGTCTGGAAACCACTGGATGGAACCCCTTCCTACACTCCTTCCATGTCTGACTTATGTCCATCTTTTGCCTGAAGAGTGCTGTATGCTGAGCCCCTACAGCAAATCCAATTCATGAGTCTGTGAGCTGATGTGCACCAGGGCATCCATCACATCTTTGCAGTTCTCATCAGGTGAATATAGTGATCTTGGGAAAACACTCCTAGCAGCAAGATTCTGATTGCTGAGCTCTTCAGTCAGTATTTCAGGAGAGCACACTTGCTCACTGCTATGGCTTATCCTGCAAGCCCTGCTGAGCTGTCTTTTTATTCACAAACTGGCTCTCAGGATGCACTGTGAGTTTATCAGAACAGTCACAAGAAAAGATGCTAACAAAGAAACAAACGTCACCACAGTCTTACCATCAGCTGAAACACTCTTTTGCCTGCCAACACGCTTCACAGTTTCCCAAGTTCTGTTCAGTATAGAGAAAACAAGTTGATAGATTAAAAATATCCACGTTTTGTAAGTTGTCTTCTATCCTTGCAGTTGTGATCAGAAAGCAAAACATGCCATTGTTCAGTGAGGCCCAGCAGGAAAGCAGCTGGCTGTAGGTAACCCCTGTCCTGTTTGGCCATGGAAGATGTCTGTGATAGAATTTTGTTTCGCATACACAAGTGAGAGAGAAAATGGATACCTGGTGATTGCTTAGGCTCACTAAACATAATGGAAAGACACAAATGACTGCCACAGAACAAATCATATAAAAGTGATCCTGGAAAAGTGCAAGATGGAGCAATTCATGTATTTAACATGCCAGATTTTGTTAGTTTTGAAAAAAGGCCACGATCATTCTTTTATCTTGCTTTTATACAGTTTATAATGTAACTCTGAACTCACAGCTCACTTACTCGAACAAGAGAAGCATACAGGAAAGAAAGACAAGCTTTTCTC